TCTTCCTCTCTTTCTTCTGTGTACCTTTCCTAGCATTATTGTTTTTTCTAGTGATCTATGACTTCTCATGATGTGGCCAAAGTACGATAGTTTCAACTTGATCATCTTTGCTTCCAAGGAGAGCCCTGATCTGATCTGTTCAAGAACCCATTTGTTTGTCTTCTTGGCTGTCCATGGTATCCCAAATACTCTTCTCCAGCACCACATTTCAAATAAGTTGATTTTCTTTCTGTCCACTTTCTTCCTTCAAGTTTAGGAAGTTAGGGAATTTGAATTAGGGAGAAAGTAGTAATGATGTGGGGTTAAATCAGGGGTAGGCAACCTTTCCCCTTTAAGGGCCGAGGGACTTCAGCTTCCAGAATCCCAGGAGCTATTGGCCAACATGGGACTATTGGCCAACATGGCTGAGGCTTCTGGGAGCTGAAGTCCCTCGGCCCTTAAAGGGGAAAGGTTGCCTACCCCTGGGTTAAATGATGCTTCTGAATGGAACCAAATTGATCATATTTTTGATGGTAAGTCTTTGTAACAAACAGTTCTCATTTTCCTTTGCAGCAAGCTGTTTCCTTTTTCAAAGCTGGTCATGACAGTGTAGTCAAAAGAAAGGAGAGGCGATGCAAAGACAGACGTGTCCTGTTTTCATGTCATTTGCAAGAGATTCTTCGCAAATCTGTATTAGATGCAAAGTGTTACTTGCTGTAGAGCCAGCAGAGGGAGCCCAAAAGCATAATAAATGTTATGCAAACCAGCTACTAACAGCAGCTGCTTGCTTTCTTATTTCAGACATGTTTGTAGTGAGGGCACAGGATGACTTTTCATTGAGAGTGAAGGGAGATATCTCAAATTTAAGACATCACTCTTGTTAATGTCCAAATGTCAGGTGCACTGATTAGAGCAGTTGTCTCCAATATGTTGCCCTCCTGATGTGCTGTATTATACTATTCTTGTGCTGCTTATGGATGATTGGAGTTGTAATCCCATATACCCAGAGAATCCTGGGTTACAGAAGGATGTGTTAAGTTATACAACAGGGTGGGGAATGTGTATGGTCTGCCAGATAGATGGAACTTCATCTTCCATGATCCTCCTCTTTGTCTGTGTTTTTCAGGGGTAACAGTAATTGCAGTCTCTTGAGAGCCATACATTTGCCAGCCTCGGTATAGAATGACTTGATAGATCAAGAGAGAAATTTCTTCACAATTCCTTACGAATTCCACTGATCTAATTGTTTTTGGGGTGGCTGTGAAGCAAAAGCCATTGCGGGCATGTGGAAGGATACAGTTGGGGGGGATACAGTTTTATGGAACTGCTTCCTGATGATCCCAAGAATGTGTTGTTTTATCTTTGCTTTGCTTTGTGGAATTGATGGATTGATATGTACAGGTGACATATATAGTAAAAAGTTGTACTGATTTTACCTGTTTTGGTAAGAACTTCTTAGCAGCCCTGATTTCTCGGGGGCACTTTCTATTTTGAGTAGTGTGTCATGATACACACTGTGGAGATCTCCGGAGGAGTGCCATATGTTTCAGCACAGTGATGGCTCAGAAGGGTCAGAAGAGGTGCCAGAGAATCTTGTGCTGCCTCCAACTTCCCAGGGCACTCTGCATGAAGATGAATGCAAAGTGCTTGGGCGCAGCAAGAACCTTGTTGCCATCCTGGTTTTGGCAAACACCTGACTAGATACCCAAGACTTCTGGCCTTGCCACTACTTGGTGACATCTTGTGTTTTGGCCTAGTTTCAGTGTGATTCAATTTTGATTTTCTTACCTTTCTGATGTTTTTTTTCCTTTTTGGATTGTTTTCTTGACGGGAACGTGAGAGCTCACCACTGAGATGAGGAAAACGGTGGAAACATGAGTGTTTCAGAGACTATACTTTTCAAGCTACAGGTGTAAAATTTTTGAAAGTTTTGAAGCCATAGTGAATTCCACCACCCCCTCCCCAAAACCTTGGGGAAAACTGAAATATGTGCAATGCTTAGTTTCAGATTAGCTTTAGTTTTTTACAAACACAATTGAGAATGTATCTTGGACTAAAGAAATAGCTACAAACTGCTGAGCCCTCAGCTACCTTAAAACCTATAGCCTTTGCTAGTTGAGAAGCAGAAGAAAAAAATAAAAAGAGAAACTCTGGATTTTGAAAGAAATAAAATAAGCAAAAGCCACAGCTTTCATAAAAGTGTTTTGAGAAACCCCCACAATGTTATACAGCCATGGTTAAAGGACTAGGCAAGCTGCATATTTGAATATAAAGTTTAAATCAGCATTGAGTTAAGTACACTGTCATCTTTTGTTCACATGCAGTAAAGCCTCCGCTGCATGTTTTTCTTATGAAGATGGTAGTACACCTTAGGTGTCAAAAGTGCATTCTTGATTTGAGCATTATGTCTGCAGCATCCACAGAATTTTTCATTCTCTGATACTACAAACTGTTTTACAAACAGTTGCTTGCTGTGAAGGTCTTTCACCTCTCTCAATTTGCAAGATGAAACTGGGGATAAACTCTCAGTCTCTAGCAGGTTCTTCTTGTTAGGCCAGGGGTGGTCAATTGTGCACAGAGCAGGGGCCTTTTTCCTCCCTATGTCTTGCTGATGGGCCACAATGTGTGTTCTGGTACGTCTGAAGTGACACAGTGTCACTTGTGGCCACTATTTTGTCATATTTTTGTATGAGTTTCCATTTATGTGTGTTTTTTTGAGATGTTTGGATAGCTTGGCTGGTTAGAAGAAGCAAACAGTCTGTCCTTTTGGCTTGTGAAGTAGGCACCTTACAAAACTGGATGTAAAAAAACAACCTGGATGTATTTCTATAACAATGGCAAAAACAATAATTTTTTGCATATTATTTGTTTAATGATTACAGAGCTAACTAAATAGTCATACTAAAATAACTAATAAACGTAACCACAAATTATTATACAGTCTTCCCTCCCCATTCATGGACTTGAAGTCTGTGGTCTTGGTTCTTCGCGGACTGGAAAGTGGGGAGGGATAAAATGGCGTGCACACCCACAGTGTACGTCCATTGAAAACAATGGGGACTTGAATATTAGCAATATTTCCAATTCACAGGGGGGTCCGAAATGGATCTCCCATGAATTGGAAGGGATTACTTGCATTGTTAGATTTCATAATGCTCAAAAAGTCCAAAAATGGTTTCCAGTCTTTCAAAAAATAATAATCTTCAGTTGGCCAATCATATAGAACCCATGCTAATTTGGCAATTTGAGATAACTAGCAACCTTAACAATCCATTCTTCTGTCATCAGTGCTTCAGTCCATTTCCACACTTGTGTAAACAATAATCTTGCTGCTGTTATCAAGTATTGAAGAAGTAGTCTGTATTTCTTATCCAGTTCTTTATCCATAATGCCCAACAGAAACATTTCTGGTAATGTTACAAAATCTACACCTTTAAACTTTTTTGAATTAACATATAAATCAGACTAATAACTTTTCACTTTCTTACACTTCCACAACAAAGGAGCTCCTTATCTTGACATTCCCAACATTGGTTTGAAACATTCTTAGACATGTTGGACAAGTTATTTGAGGTTAAGTACATCTATGCATTATCTTACACAGATTTCCTTTCAAATTACTGCTCAAAGTAAATTTTATATCTTTGGGCACATTTCTCCCCATATATCCATTTGAAAGTGATGTCCCAAATTTTGAGCCCACCTTAACATGTACATTTTTACAGATTCATCTTCTGTGTCTAATTTCAAAAGCCATTTACAGTGCATACTTTTAAAATTACATGTTCATTGTCTTTACACAGCTTTCAATAAAATTCATTTTCTCCAAAGCCTACTGCCTCACTTCTCTCATCTTGATTAAATCTATCCTTAAATTGTATATAAGCACACCAATTAAGATCTTTGCTTTCCTTAGGAAAATTCCCTCTTGATTTAAATGCCTAGCTGTCTTGTTTAAAGTACAAAATATTCTTATAAAACAACCACCTCCGTTCTTTAACCCATTTTTTCCATTTAAAAAGCTTCCTGTGGTGAGGCGCCTAATACTATCACAGGGAAAAGTCTCTGCTTGTATTTATTCCAAACCTCAATGATTTTTAAATTCAACATGTGCCTTAACTTTATCATACCAAAGATAACACTGTCACTTATATCTTAAATCATGACCTTTAAGTTCCTAGAGTCTCTAATCTCTAAGCCAGGCCTGCACAACTTGGCAGTAGATGGGGGCCAAAAATAAAATATGCTAAACTCCTTTGAACCACAGATAGTTTTAAATTAAATATTAATTAAATAACAATAGTAATTAATAGTAATTATTAATATTAATTATAATTAATTAATATTAATTCAATCCTCCTCTGCTCAGCCCTCTCAGGACAAAGCTGAACAACAGAGCAGCCTTGCTTATCCTTCTCCTCTTCCACCTGGACTTTCCCTTGGGAGAAAGCCAAGCAATGGAGGAGTCTTGCAGGGTGGGCATTTGCCCATCCTCTTCCTCTGCTGCCACCTGGCCTTCTCCTCAGGACGAGCAGGGTGGTGGAGGAGCCTTGTAGGGCAAGTGTTCACCTGTCCTCTGCCTGTCCTCCTCATCAAGAGAAAGCCAGGAGGTAAAGGAGCCTTGCAGGGTGAACATTCACCCTTCCTCCTCCTTCTCTGCATCCCTCTCTTCAGGAGAAGGCTGAGCAGCAGAGGAGCCTTGAAGTTGTTCCACATACTTAGGGGCCACCCAAAATCCTTTGTTGGGCCGCATGTGGCCCCCAGGCCACATGTTGTGCAGGCTTGCTTTAAGCAATATCCATTCCTGTAACCATACAGAACAGTAGGCCTCAAAATACAATTTAATTTTAGGAACTCCCAAGTCACCCTTTCTTTAGCATCATTTGTTGTTGTTGGTGGGTACCTTCAAGTTGTTTCTGACAACCCTAAGGTGAATCTATCATGGGGCTTTCTTGGCGAGATTTGTTCAAAGATTTGCCATTGCCTTCCCCTGAGATTGAGACAGTGTGAGTGGGTTTATATAGCTAAGAGGGGATTTGAACCCTGGTCTCCAGACTCCTAGTCTGACACTCAAACCACTACACCATGCTTTAGCCTCTTTAGCATCATACATTCTTCTTCATGGTCTTTGTGACTCATAGGTGAGTTATCCTGTGCCTGTTCATTGTCTCTTTTGGAACATTCTAAAGTGTTCTGATGTGTTTGGGCGGTAGTCCTGCCCACTTCTGGCTGCCCTATATAAGGACCTTCCCAATGAAACACCCAGTTCCTTTTTTTCCCTGCTGCAACTGCTTGAGTAGGAACAGCATTTGTGTCATTGATTGTCTGAGAGAGATTCCTTGGATTTGTGTTTCATTGGCATTGGCTCTGCCATGCTAGCCCTCTGGGCTATTCAATCTTGCTGGTGTCTTTCAAGAAACCAATTGAATGCAGCACCAAAATCACAGATCAGGATGGACACTTTAGATGCCTCCAGTACCTGGGTGAGTCCACATAGTTGCCTCATGTGCGCTGCTCGGCATTTATGCTGCAGGCAAGACACAACAGGGTTCAAATCTTTTGTGTATGAATGGATCTTGACACCGCAGGAGCCTGAGCATTGGCACAAACCCTCAGCTTTGAGGGTATAAGAGCTTGAATCTCAACATCAACTTTTAGCCTGGAAACTGGCATTGATGTTGATGATTATGGAGGCAAAGTTGGCTTCTGTTCCAATGGCTGCTGGATCTTCAAAGCATAAAGCCAAACACTCTTTGGTGAAGTCTATATGCACGCTAACGAAAAAGGCCCATGCCAATACTGATGTTAAAACTATGTGTCCAAAGCCTCCCAATTCTGATACTGATACCTCCTGTTCTTATCAATGGTATTGCTAAAATACATTATATTTGCATTTGCACCATGGCAGTGGTCATGGCCATAGATGTCATGACCAGCACAAATATAGCACTCTCATTCTTCCTATGATTCATATTATTCTGGCTTAGGGAGCTTGTTGGCCTGTGAAAGCCACTTGTGGCACTATACTAGCAACTTTAAGAATCAGGCCTATCCAGCTCATTGCTCATGTTGCACACGATGCCATGCTGACCATATAGCATACACTAGCATTTTTGCTTCTGTTCAGCAAGGTGAGCGGGTGGAGGACCAGGCATTCTGTGACGTTGCAACCTCTCAGGAGCCTACTGTTTTCCCTCACCAAAAAGTGAAGGCAAAGGGCAAGGATAAGACCTATCTCCTGATCACAACTTCAGCTGTTGCAAACCAGGCCATTCAGGTTTCCTCTGCCTTCATTACATTGGCTTCGGGCTTTGATTTGGATTCTGTGGTTGTTCACACTACAAAGTCACCTCCTATTTTGGGTGCTAGGGACCCTTCTTTGCTCACTGATTACGTCAAGGCATTTGTTGGCTAAATGCTGAAGATGGCTAAATCTGTGGACATCCAGGTGCAACAACAGCATACATCCATTGACAACCTGGTATTTCACCGGGTTCAGGCACAGGCCACCACTCCTGCACCTCTACCAGTGCTCTCCTGTTTGATGCAGGTGATTTGGAAATCATGATTGATTCCTTAATTGATACCATCTTCCTCAAGTGAGCTGGAAACTAGGTCGATGACTTGGTCATTCCTCCCCTTGGACATCATCTGAAACCTAATTCAATCATTGTTGATGATTCCCAGTCAAAAGCTTCATGTCACTTGCATTCCACACCTGCAGACAAGGAGGGCAAGAGGCTTAATTAGATGGGGAGAAAATTCTGCTCTTCAGCTGCTCTAATTTAAAGATTTCAAATTACCTTGCTTGCATGTGAGCATTCAGTCAGCTTCTGTGGGAAAAGATGACTCTGTTCCTAAACAAGCTTGGTGATGAAGATTGCAGGGTGGCCTCACTCTTGCAATTTGAAGCCTACAAACTGACAGGACATTCGATTATGACTTTATGTCATATAGTGAACTATGGAGGTAAGGCAGTGACTGCTGTGGTGCCTTCTGTCATTATGGCTAGCTTTGTTCTTCAGGTTTTTTTTATCAAACTCAGGTGGTTATTGAAGACTTACCTTTCGATTTTGCTGGCATCTTCAATTTGAAGACTGACACCAGCCTAGAACACACACAAAAGATGTGTTCAACTGTGAAAAAGTAGCGATTTAATCCCTTAGTAAAATCCATCTCAAAGTACAAATTGAACTGATATAAATATGGTCAGCCTTGTAAGACGTCTTATAGCCCTCCTAGGGCAAGGTACTGCTGCAGCTACCAACAAGCATCCTCCATTGCACCCTCCACCACTGACCAAAAGTTTTTTT